GAATAATTATAAATGAACTGACTTGAATAAAATTATAATAATGGCTTTGAGGTTTCACATATATGCAAATCAAATGAAAGTGGAAAGAATTAAGTAGGGTTAGAGAGTTCTAAGGTCCTTACAATGTCTAGGAAGTGGAAACAGGACTAATATGTATTAATAATTACCTAGAAAAGCCAAACTGCAATACCGGAGAAGGGGGCAGCATTGTGGCACCTCATGTTAAGCCACCACTTGTGAAGCTGATGTCCATATCAGGAATGCCTGTTTGAGTCCTACTGCTCTGCTTCCTATCCAGCTGCCTGCTAATACACAGGAGAAAGTAGATCATGATGGCCCAAGTATTTGAAATCCTGCCCCCCCATTTGAGAGACCCTGATGAAGTTCTTGGCTCCTGCCTCCTGGCTTTGGCTTGGACCAGTCCTGGCTGTTATGGCCACTTGGAGAATAAACAAGCAGATGTGAAAACCTCTCTCTATGTGTGTGTCTGTCTCTCTTTCTCTCTCCACCACTCTACCTTTCAAATAAGTAAATAAATAAATATTTTTAAAACTCTGCAAAGTTTGGGGTATAGCCCCAGAGACTGGTAAATCTAGAATAGACTTCTAAAACTAATTGCAAGGACTCAGGGTCTGATTACAAAGTGAGAAGGAAATGAGTCCTCACAAGACTGTCCTCACTTCTGACACCAACTGCTACTTCTGGGAGGTCTGAAAAAGCATGTTTTGAAAATTCACAAGGATTTATCTCACAAAATCTATTATACTAATCATTGTGTTTTATTACAAGGAGACTATACAGATCCAAAGGGAGAAATGCATAGAATAGAGTCTGGTAGGTTGCCAGACACGAAACTTCTGTTTTGCTCAGGACATGTTTCTCTGTAGCATCAATGTGTGACAATGTGCAGTGTGACCAGTCCAGAAACATCATGTAAGCTTTTAAGTCCACAGTTTGTTTTAGGATTTTTTACATAGGCAATTGGAAGATCACCCATATAGTTCAACTCAGCCTCCTACATGTCCCTCCCTGAAGGGTGAGCTGGTATTATATGGACCCAATATATGTCACTTCACCAGCATAAACTGGTGTGGCCCAAAAGGGTTCACCACACAAAACAAAGATTCTCATCATTCAGGAAATCCCAAGGCTTTAGAGGTTAGTGTTCAAGGATTGGAAGTCCAGACTTCTCTTAGTACAAGGTGGAATCCTTTACAAAGTGGTACATGTTTCCATTCAGTCTTTCCAGGTCCCAAACACAGGAGTGTTCTACCCTTTGAGGTGTCTGGTGTAACTGAACAAAAGAGAGTATAATTTCTTGCTCTGAATCCTCCTTAAAGTATTAATGTATTCAATTTCTCTCATTGCATAACTAATTATTCATTATTTTACATTCAGTTATTATTTATGCATCTTTCCATTTGTCATTTAACTTTACACAGTCTTCCACTTTGTGCTAGTCCAGGTTATAAGCTTAGGAAATGCCTCCTCCTCTTCCTGTTCCCATGAATACATGTGGAGGAAGATAGCTGGTTAGCTCCGTTGAGTATCAGGAGACATATTATAGTTTCATTACCTTCAACTCCAATTTACAATATGACATGAAGGTAGAAATAATACCATTTTCCCCTTATGAATTCTGATTTTGATGTTTAAATGTAGAGCTACAGTTTCTTGCATAGGGATCATCCCTGCTTCCTGCACTCATAATTGCAGCCCTGGTCCTGATACCACTGCATCAGATAGGGAAAAAAGTGGTAACTTTTGGTGAAGGGAAAAAAAAAACATAAGTTTGTACTACCATCTACTTCTTCTACCTTGGTAACAACAGCATTATCATACCAACATAATTTCCCATCTCTGATTCCCCTGATATCCCAGAAAGGTAAATGAAGCTATCCAGTAGGAACTTCCCTGGGTCACTCTCAAGTTAAATGTGAGTGCACACTCCTGAAGGCACCTAAACCAACAATTTTTGATAAAAATCTAGACTAAAAATGTTTCAACTGTCTCTTAGAATTTTCTATCAAACTCTTACTCATGGATTCACTCTCTCTGCTCACTGTTAGGTATTATAGGCTTTCACACTCCTTGGCATGAAGCATTCTGAATGTGCAGACCATATTGATGTAGTATCTTCTATTCTGGTTCTTTTATAACACTGAACACTTGCATCTACTGCCACATATGTAAAAGCTAGTCCAGAGAAAATGTCTGTTTGTATCAAAACCCTTTGTAGTCTCCAGGGACTATTATCATCAATTTAATATATATACTATACTCTTTTCCCCAAGGAACCTGCCCTTTAGTCATCTCTCTCCTGTTGGCAAAAAGAATACTTATTTGTGATTTTGTACGTCAGTATAAGAGGAATATATCTGCTGAATCCATTCTCTGAATTGGTACAGCCCCTGAGTGTTCACTATTGCCATGGACTAAGGTGGCAACCTCAAGTGAGGGCGTGAAAAGACTACTTTCTAGTTCCAATCACCTTCTGATTACAGAAGGGCTTCCTCTGATGGCATAGACCTGTCCTGTTTTAATGTACCCACTTCAATTGCCAGAATGTTTTCTGTAGGGCCACAGGATCATCCATTGACTAGGCTGGTTTTCCAATGCCATTCTGCCTGACCGTATACGGAAGCCATTGACCATGAGTGAGTAAAAAAAAAACAAAGAAAAAAAAAAAAAAAACAAAAGAAACAAACAAACAAATGTATGGGAAAACAACATGAAGTTTGTTACCTGAGATTATTTAATTTTACCTTCTTCAGGATGGAGGCCTTCTAAAACAAGGTCTTCCATAAACCAACCAGATCTGTTCTCCAGAAACATCTTAAATATATGGCTATTATAAGGTTAAAAATTAAAAGGACAGAAAAAGAACATGCTAAAACTAAATAGAATTATTATAACCATTTTATGAGCTAAAGTAGATTTTACAGTAAAGAAAGAAATAAAGAGGGTTATTTCAAAAGATGAAAGCCAATCCACCAAAATGATATGGCATTTCTGAATTTACATGCAAAATATTGTCACAGATTAAATAATAGACAAATTCACAGTCTGAGTGGGAAACTTTCACATAACTCTTTTAATACCTAAAAGAAAAAGCAGATAAAAGCCAGTAAAAGTATGAAGAATTAACAACATAATTTACAGTTCTTATATAATGGACTTGAGAATTCTGCATCCAATAATAAAAACATTAAGCTCAACAATGATGGGAAGCACATTCTTTTCAAGTGCACATAGGATATTTACCAAATTGTCAATATGCTGGGTCACAAAAAAGAGGCTCAGCGTCTAGTCTCTGAACTAAGTGGAAACCAACCAAAAATCAAAAAGAAAATCAAGGCCAGCGCCACAGCTCACTAGGCTAATCCTCCCCATGTGGCGCCAGCACACGGGGTTCTAGTCCTGGTTGGGGCGCCAGATTCTGTCCCGGTTGCTCCTCTTCCAGTCCAGCTCTCTGCTGTGGCCCGGGAGTGCAGTGGAGGATGGCCCAAGTACTTGGGCCCTGCACCCCATGGGAGACCAGGATAAGTACCTGGCTCCTGGCTTCGGATCGGTGCAGCTCCGGCTCCGTTTGGGGAGTGAACCAGCGGAAGGAAGACCTTTCTCTCTCTCTCTCTCTCACTGTCTAACTCTGCCTGTAAAAAAAAAGAAAGAAAAAAGAATATCAAGCTAAAATCATATAATTAGAAACAAAGTAATGTTAGTGGCTACACTAAGATACTGAAATTAATAAACCACTGAAACTTCAATATATATATTTTATTATGAAGTCATTCCTCTTTCCTGTTTCATATAATATGTATACAAATTTCAGCTAAACTAAATATAACAAAGAGGAGATAGTTACTTAATTCCTTAAATTTGAAGGCTTTGACTTTTAAAAAAAAGTTTTGAACAACACAAAGACATAGCCACTCATAGTAAGACCTTAATTCAAATGTTGTATGTATACAAAACAAAGATGTTCATAATAAAATATGAGAAATTGAGACCTGGAAGGAATTATGGAGCTGCTTTATAAGTGGAAAGATGTGTCTGCTGGTTAAAAGAATAGGGTGGGGCCAGCGCTCTGGCTCACTTGGTTAATCCTCCACCTGCGGCGCCGGCATTCCATATGGGCACCAGTTCTAGTCCCGGTTGCTCCTCTTCCAGTCCAGCTCTCTGCTGTGGCCCAGGAAGGCAGTGGAGGATGGTCCAAGCACTTGGGCCCTGCCCCGCATGGGAGACCAGGAGGAAGCACCTGGCTCCTGGCTTCAGATCGTCGTAGCTCTGGCCGTGGTGGCCATTTGGGAGCTGAACCAATGCAAGGAAGACTTTTCCCTCTGTCTCTCCCTCTCACTGTCTGTAATTCTACCTCTCAAATTAAAGAAAAAAAATAGGGTGGTCATTTAAATAATTAGGAATAACTTCAGGCTTTGTCTTTCTTGCATGACACTAGGTGCAAAGTTTAAAGATGCTGAGCTTCAGTCTTTTGCATCAAATGGTTTTAATAAATCTGTTGCCTACTGACTGAAAAAGAATATAAGGAATTGAAACAAATGTTTGCAGAAAGTCTAACGACTACTGGGAATAACTTTACCCCTGAATCTGTGATTGTTTAATATCACTTAATATTCCCAATGACCTTTTCACACAGTAGGCATATATATAATATTTTTAAGGATATTGACTGAACTGTAGAAATTTATACCTAGTTATCATCTCACATAAACAAAATTATATCTGTATCCTCATCTACCATATGTAAGTGGTTAACATGTTCTCAATACTGTAGTGATGAGAACATATTTAATTTTTTCAGTACCATAAATATTTGAAGTTATGATATAATAAATCATGGAAATTGCTAAGCTTTGTTCCTTTTCTCATAGTGCATTCTGATTTCCTACTGCATAACTCAAAATGTTTCAAGTTCTTCAATGTGCATTTTTAAAATTGCCTTAGGGAAATTTTGATGATTCTTCATTGAGATTTGTTTTCAGGTTTCATCTTTACTTCTTATTATGAAAAAAGTTGATCCTTCCATGTAAGTAAAATTTGATTGAAAGAAATTATGGTTAGATGTCTTTTAATCTATAGTTGTTATCTTCAGGCAAATCAATGAGGCTCTTTAGCTTCTAATAATCATTTGTAACAATGGCCATAAATTTTTTGAATATGTAGACCATAATGTATAGAGTTATTATAGATTATTTATGATATTTAAGATACAAAATCTGTTAGCATAATATACAGTCAGCCTTCAAGTTTAGAAGTTCCACATCTATTGAAGAATGAAGATATTTCCTGATCTTCTAAACATAAAGAAGGTATTATTCGAGATTAGTATTATGAAGAAATTAAGAACTAGATCAGTGAAATGGCTAATCTAAGATTGAGCAGTCACTTAATAGTTGAACTATTATCCAAACATGTCACCACAATCTATATTTAGTGAAAATAACTTATAATTCTTCTTTAGTACTACTTATATTGCTATTTACCTGTTTAAGTAAGTGTAAAATATGACTATACAGTTGGCTCTCTGTATATGAGAGTTTCACATCCTTGAATGAAAATATTTGTAAAGAAGGTGCATCTGTATTTTATACAGACTTTTTTCATGTTATTATTCCCTAAAGAGTACAGAACTATCGGAACTATAACAACTATTTACATAGCTTTTGCAGTGCATTGGGTATTATAGGGAATCTAAAGATAATTTAAAGCATATAGGAAGACATAAATATGTTATATGGGACAAAAATGCCATTCTATATAAAGAACTTGAGCATCTGTGGATTTTTGTATCTGTGGGGGATCCTGCAACCATTCCCCCTGAGGATACCAAGGGATGACCACATATGATATAATAAAGCATATTCTGTGTTGTGGATCCATAGTCTTAAATATAACACAAACGTTAGGAGCAGCTGAGGTTCTGAGTCATATTAGAAATACATTTGAATTATTCCCCTGACTATAGTGTGTGTGATTTCTCAAGTGGGTAAAATGAGCACAATGTTATGTGTGTATGGCTTTGAGAAGAGGGCATTAACATAAAAAAATCAGGCAGACATTCACACTTAACCAAGTCTTTCCTGTAGATTCCAGTGCATTCTAGTTGGTGATACTGTTTTTTTTGTTGTTGTTGTTTTGTTTGTTTTTTAAGGCACTGGCTCTATCACTCCACCATTAGCCAAACTGTATATGGCCACTCTTTTAGCATCATTATTGTATTTTCTATGGGTCATTCCAGAGTAGTTTTGTGTTCCTTGGATAAGTTGTAGGCCCTCAGATACGTAAAAAATTGATGAATAAAATAGATGATACTGGAAAGGCATTTAAAAGTAGCTGATTCTTGGCATGAAATGTAAGAAAGCAGTTGAAGGAAAACATATCTATTCAATTCTTGATCAGAAGAGCTTTTCAAAGGGGGAGAAATCAATGGAGACTGCATATGTTTCCTAACATCCGGTTTCATTAAAAAGGGTTATTTGGTGGTCATTTCCAACCCAGAATTCATCAGCTTGCTCTTCCTCTTTTTTGACACCTTCCCATGACGTGAGTCGGGAGAAAATGTGATCCTGCCCTCAGTTCTAATGGTGGCTCCTGAAATCCAAGTCAACTATTGTTCTCCATGCATTTTACCAGGAACTGGTAGAACAGCAGAGCCTTTGCCAATCCATTTGTGACTTTTCCCAGAAAAGCAATCATGGATAAGGCAGTGCTTCTCCAAGTATGGTCCAATAACTCAGCATCCCCTAGGGACTTATAAGAAAAGGAAGTTATTAGGCTCCTGTTGAGACCTACTGGACCAGGAACTAGAGGAGGGAACCTCAGCAATCCATGTTTCAAGAAACCCTTCAGTTCAGGTGATGTACACTATAGTTTGAGAGCCAAGGGTGAAGAGAGGAGCTCCTGATTGACCCAAGGAAGGGGCTTTTATCTCATAGATGTGAGAAAGGTTTCTTTTCCCTACTGATTTAAATCAGGAACTAAATTACCCCCAACTGCTGCTGGTTGCCTTTTTGGTAGTGTCAGAGAAATTAGCTCAGTGAGTACAAGGAACTGAATGTTTGTGTCCTTCATCCCCAAATCATATGCTGAAGCCTGATCTCTAATGTGTTGGTATTGGGAGTTGGAGGCCTTATAAGCTGATTTGGTCACAGGGAGGCGCTTTCATGAATGCTGTTCTTATTAGGAAATCCCAGAGAGCTTCCTTAGCCCTTCCTCTTGTGGGAACACAGCAAGAAGATGGCCATCTGTGAATCAGGAAATGAACTCCCCCAGATACCACATCTGCCAGAACCTTGATCTTGGACTTCTCAGCTTGGAGGCTGTGTGGCACGGAGAGCACCTGAGGACTTTCAATCAAATAAGAAGGATGCAGTTCCTTATTCTTCAAAACCATTCAGCTCAAGTTTTCTGTTACTGCAGCAGAAAGCATGCTAAAGGTTACAGAGGGATTGGAACTTGTATAATGCTAATCAACTCATTTGCTCAACCGATATGTGTTATGTACCAGCCCTAGTTTTAGTCACTGGAAATACAAATGTTAATCATGATTAAAAAAACGAAATATCTACCTAATGGAGTTTATATTCTGATTTGAATAAACACATAGCAAATGGATAGGAAAAATAAGACTGACCTGTTTAGCTGGTGGTAAATACTATAATACAGCAGGGCAGCTGATAGCATGTGAGAGTTGTAATTTTATATGGAATGGCCAAGAGATACTGCCTGAGGGGATGCCGTAAGGTTATGTGGGCACAGAGATCAATACAGGAAAGAGAAGAGCTAGGACACTGGTATCTGCAGCTTTACTTCTAGCTGAAGCATAAAGGGGTGAAATAATCTGCCTAGCAATGCAGAGGTGACAATGACAGGACCACGACTTGGAGATTAATGTGCCTAGTGTGTGATCATTTTTAATAATGCTATATTCCCTTCTGAGATATATTGCAATATTTAAGAAATAATCTTCTATTTCAGTAATAATGTGGTGATATGGCTACCCCAAAAGCCTGGGCAGATCTATTGCATTTCCTTGGATCTCTTCTATTCCTTCCTTAAATAGATTCTTTCAAAGAGCAAAAACGGAGTAAGTTTTACATCCTCTTACTAGAACTACTTGCCACATGATTTACCTTTGCTTGGGGTTGGGGGTGGGGGGTCCGAAGCTGTAGTGAATTTTCCTTTGCTTATACTGGAGCTTATACTCTTCTTGCGTGGATGTAGGAATACTTCAGATCAAGAAATAGCCACTTCCTTAGCATTGATAATGTCTTGTAGGACCTCCAGCAACCCTAATGCCTCCTCCCTTAGCCCCTTGCTCTGTTCTAAAGACTTCACCTGGCATAGAAGGGGACCTCAGTATCTTCTGTTATGGCCAGTGTCCACTCTAATTGTGTGGCCTTTTCACTTGCCCCATTGTGAAATATTTCACAGATCATTCCTGTACTGTTACCCCTAGACACTGTCACCAAGATCACTAGGCAATGTATGTAATGAATCAATGGTGGATAGGATGTTAGTGAGTTTTTGTTCAATGATAGCTGAACCAACATAAAAGGGAATAATATTGAAAATAATTTGGTAAAATCCACAATTCTTTTCTCCTCTGCACCAGTCCAAAGGAGAGGGAAATATTTTTCTCTGAACTCAAAGCTCAGCTTTCTTTGACAAATGACCAAATAGTTATGCTGATGATCACCTTGAATAATAGACTTGTCCCTTAGTTAACTGATGTTCCTTACACTTGCTAAATATAATTGTACATTTTCAATATGTTTTCCTTTGTATCGAACATATATATGACAAACTTCTCATCGTCCTGGTGCTTACAAATCAGTTTTTTTAATGGAAAACTTGGGAAGACAGATTTTATTTCAGATAATAATTTTCAGTGAATAGAAGGACAGTTCAGATATAGGAGAAAAAAATAATGCCTTGGAACAGAAAGGTTTTATGTCTGCTATCTATGGAACACTTACCTCTGAGAATTTGTCAGAAAATGAGGCCTTCTGTTGCTTGTCAACAATCATTATTTAGTAATTTTTTTGAGGAATTCAAAACTTCTGCCTTTGTCTCTGAAATGACAGTAATCTGGCAGAGACAGTATGTAAACTAACATTTAGAAATAAGAGGGTGTTATAACCCCTCCCATCAAAAAGTTAACAATCTGTGACATTCTAAAATCATAAAAAAACACGCCATGTTGGCTATCTCAATAACAATTATAAAGAGTTCATTTAGCATCTTGAGAATAAAAGCTGTGCTCCTGAATGGTTCGGGTCGCCTGAATTCTACTTGATAGCATTCATCTGCTGTAGTCTTGCTTTCATTTGACAGATCCAAGTCAGAAGGTAAAACTAGCAGATGCAAGTGCTTTATAAAGAAAAAAAAAAGCTGTGAGATTCTAATATAGAGAGAACTTTCTAATCCACCATTGTTGGGGCTTTCCTTAACAGACATAAAACTTTCACTTCCATTATGGAATACATTTTGTTGATACATATGATTGTAATCTGCTGTTTATCCTCTTCTTTATAGAAGCCTAGGATGGGTTCTATATGGCTAGGATCAAGGATAAAAAACCATACACGATTAGAGCAGTGTAACTTTAGTCCCAAACTCTATATTGAGTCTTCCCAGCTGTTTTCTATCATGGCAGCACCTTCCACACTGATGTGAAAATTAGGGGCCGCTGAAGCGTAAATCCTTTCTCTACTGCCTTACTTTCAGTTTAGAGCTTATTCCCTATTTCTGTTTTTCAGTTTTGGTAGTTTGTTATAAATGACTCTGAAGTCAAAAAGAACATGAGACTCATCCATATTTTTGCATAGTGCCATAGGAAACCAGGGTCACTGAATTCACTCCTCTTTAATAGTATCACTGAAGCATCCATTTGAGAGCCTTTTTCTGTTAAAACGCCAATTTCACCCTTCTGAACTCGGCCTCTGAGACCTGATAACTCACCTTGGCTTAGGTCTGTAATTTTCTGTTAACTCTTTCAATCCTTCAGGCATGGTTTACCAAGAT